AATAAAGAGATCACTGGTAACTTTGGACAAAGTTTCAGTTGAATGATAAGGTCAGAAAATTAAACTGCATAGAATGAAGAAGAACAAGAAGAAATGAAGTAGAAGCCCCTGTTGTAGAAAGACTTCTCAAGGCCTTCAGCTACAAAACAAAGAAGAGATATGGGTTGAAACTGATAGCTAGCAGGGTAAAAGTTTTGAGTATGGGAGAGACATGGGCTATTTATAGGCAGTAAGGAAGTAGCTAGTAGACAGGGAAGATTGAAGATAAGTGAGAGAGAAGAGATGATAAGAGGGGCAATTTGCTGGAGAAGACAGGATGTGTGATGGGATCACGTGTGCACATGGACTGGTTGTTTAAGCAAGGGGAAAGGGAAAATCCTGTGGATATGAGGAAGGGAGAAGAAGGAGCTTGTGGCAAATGGAATCAATTTTTTTCAATGAAATAAGAGGCAAACTAAGGGGAGAGGGGAACCAGAAGTTTTAAGGAGGGATGAAAAGTTTAGAAAAGCTGCTGTGTTGATGGGATAGTGATTAGAAAGATGCAAAAGGATAATTTGGTGCAGTGAAGGCTCAGTTGAGATTAAGTCACATAAAGCTGTAGTGGACCCAGTTAGCACAGTTGCATGATTTTTCCCCCCAGCTTTATTCAGCAACATGTGAGTAGGATCTAAGGCAAGAGATAGTGAAAGCTGAGGCTTAGCAGGACAGGACTGACAATAGCATAATGGGGGCAAGTGACTAGAGAGAAGAGGACAGTGTAATAGAAATTTGTTTATTTTTGGTTTTCAACATTCACTTCCACAAGTTTTTGAGTTCCAAATTTTCACTCCATCTCACCCCTCCCCCCACCCCAAGATGACATGCATTCTGAATATCCCTTCCCCTAGTCTGCCCTCTCTTCTATCTCTCCCCTGTTCTCTTATCCCTTTCCCCTTCTGTTTTCCTGTTGAGCAGGATAGACTTCTGTACCCCATTTCCTGTATTTCTAATTTCCCAGTAGCATGTGAAAACATTTTTTTAAACATATGTTTTTAAAACTTTAGGTTTCAAATTCTCTCTCTTCCTCCCTCCTCACCCACCTTCATTGAAAAGGCAAGCAACTTAGTAGGTTGTACATGTGCAGTTATGCAAAACACTTCCATAGTAGACTTGTTGTGAAAAACTAACTCTATTTCCCTTAATCCTATCCCACCCTCCCATTTATTCTATTCTTTCTTTTGACCCTGTCCCTCCTCAGAAGTATTTACTTCTGATTACCCCTTTCCCAATCTGCCCTCCTCTCTATCATCCCCCTGCTCTCTTGTCCCCTTCTCCCCCTATTTTCCTGTAGGTAAGACAGATTTCCATACCCAATTGAATGTGTATGTTATTCCCTCCTTAAGCCAAATCCTATGAGAATAAGATTCACTCATTCCCTCTCACCTTCCCCTGCTTCCCCTCCACTGTAAGAGACTTTTCTTTTTGTTTTTTTTTGTGAGATAATTTACCCCATTCTACCTCTCCCTTTCTTCTTCTCAGTATAATCCTCTCTCATCCCTTAATTTTATTCTCCAGATATGACCCCTTAATCTTCAACTCACCCTGTGCCCTCTATCTATCTATCTATCTATCTATCTATCTATCTATCTATCTATCTATCTATCTATCTATCTATCTATCATCTATCTATCTATCTATCTATCTATCTATCTATCTATCTATCTATATATACATATATTTTTTCCTCCAACTACCCTAATACTGACAAAAGTCTCATGAGTTATAAATATCATCTTTCCATGCAGGAATGTAAACAGTTCAATCTTAATAAGTCTCTTATGATTTCTCTTTCCTGTTTACCTCTTCATGTTCCACTTGAGTCCTGTCTTTGAAAGTCAAATTTTCTATTCAGCTCTGGTCTTTTCATCAAGAATGCTTGAAAGTCCTCTATTTCACTGAATGACCATTTTTTCCGCTGAAGGATTATACTCAGTTTTGCTGGGTAGGTGATTCTTGGTTGTAATCCTATCTCCTTTGCCTCCAGAATATTATATTCCATGCCCTCAGTCCTTTAATGTAGAAGCTGCTAAATCTTGTGTTATCCTGATTGTGTTTCCACAGTACTTGTGTTTCTTCTGGCAGCTTGTAATATTTTCTCCTTGACCTGGGAACTCTGGAATTTGGCTACAATATTCCTAGGAGTTTTCCTTTGGGGATCTCTTTCAGGAGGAGATCTTGGATTCTTTCAATTTCTATTTTGCCCTCTGGTTCTAATATATCAGGCAGTTTTCCTTGATAATTTCTTGAAAGATGATGTCTAGGCTCTTTTTTGATCATGGCTTTCAGATAGTCCAATAATTTTTAAATTCTCTCTCCTGGATCTATTTTCCAGGTCAGTTGTTTTTCCAATGAGATATTTCACATTGTTTTCTAATTTTTCATTCTTTTGGATTTGTTCAGTGTCTTGATTTCTCATAAAGTCACTATCTTCCAATTGCTCTATTCTAATTTTTAAGGAAGTATTTTCTTCAGTAATCTTTTGGACTTCCTTTTCCATTTGGCCAATTTTTCTTTTTAGGGCATTTTCTCCTCATTGGCTTTTTGACCTCTTTTGCCATTTGGGTTAGGCTTTTTTTAAGGTGTTATTTTCTTCAGTATTTTTTGGGTCTCCTTTAGCAAGCTGTTGACTTGTTTTTCATGATTTTCTTGCATCACTCATTTCTCTTCCCAGTTTTTCCTCTACTTCCTTACTTGCTTCTCAAAATCCCTTTTGAGCTCTTCCAAGGCCTGGACTGATTCATATTTTTCTTGGAGGCTTTGGATGTAGGAGCTTTGACTTTGTTGTCTTCTTCTGGTTGTATATTTTGATCTTCTTTTTCACCCAAGTAAGATAATGTAGTCTGACTCTTTTTGCGCTGCTTGCTCATGGTCCCAGCCAATTACTTGAGTTTTAAACTCTTTGTTAAGGTACGAATCTGCTTCCAATGTGGAGAAGGGTACTGTCCCAAGCTTCAGGGGGTTTGTACAGCTGTTTTCAGAGACACTTACAGGGACCTGTAAATTTTCAGTTCTTCCAAGGTGGTATGATAAAGGGCGAAGTGTTTACTCCTTTCCTGGCCTGTGACCACAAGTACTCCTTTCTGTCCTGTAACTGTGAGGAGGGGTTCCTCTCCACAGCCAGTACAAGCTCCACTGCACCAGTGTTCCTCCTCACCCTAGGACCACCGCCCAGATCTGTGACCCAGATCCAAACACGGACAAAACAAGAGATTCCTGCCTCAGCACTGGCAAAGAGATCCCTACAATCCCTCTCTGATCAGCCACTGGATTCCCCCTCAGTCTGTGGGCCAGAAGCTCGGGAAGCAGCTGCCCCCCCCCCCCAACCCCGGGCAATGATTTTGGGGAATGGAGCTGAAATCCCACCTTCCTGTCACAGCACAGCAGAAACTGACTTTTCCCACTGACCTTCTAAGTTGTCTTTGGCATTGGTGGATTGAGGAGTCTGGAAACCTCCACAGACGCCCATGATTCAATCCTCTGAGGCCTGCACCAGGTTTGCTGCAGCCTGCGCCCCCATGCCGTGCTGTACTGCGCTCCCAGCCTGGTGCAATACACCTTTCTGATCAATCATCCAGGTTGTCTTGGGCTGAAAATTTGTTTCATTCTGTCTTTTTGTGGATTCTGCTGCTTCAGAATTTGTTTAGGGCCATTTTTTATGAGTATTTGGAGGGGTTGGGGGGAGAGCTCAAGCAAGTCACTGCTTTCACTCTGCCATCTTGGCTCCGCCCCTCCAAGAAGAGAACAGTGTAGAGCTGAAGTCCTGTAGTATGGTGGTACTAATGCAATTTGGGGTTGCTGGTGATGGGGGTGCTTGTGCTTGTACTTGGACACCAATTTCTCCCTAGTCTCAGAAACACTGTCTCTGACAATCACTCCCCAGCCCAAGGACACAGTGCCTAGCAATTACCATGTGTGGGCCCCAGCAAGACCCTTATCTGTCTCCTTGGTGCAACTACACAAAGCTGGGTGAGTGAGAGAGTGCTGGGCTGCTCAGGCCCCAGCCCTCAGATCATGTCTCTGGAAGCCTCCCAATTCCTTAGTAAGTTCCTGTCTTGTGAGAAAGCTTTCCCTTGTTGCAGAACATTCTCTCATCAAGACAGAGAGAGAGGGGTGCCTTGCCCAGCCCAAGGAGTCCTGTCCTTGGCTGGCCCAAGGACTCTTCCTCTTGCCAGACTCCCAAGATCCATACCTCTGTCATCTCCCTTCCTGTCTGGTATACTCCCTGTACTTTCTCATCCGTAGCTCCCAAAGACACCTTTAGATTACTTAATCGGTATCCCTGGCATTTCTTTCCCATGCCCTTTCCATATAAACCCTAGCTCCATCCTCAGTCTCTTGCAAGTTCCTTAAGAATCCTTGCCCACTGAAAAACATAACAATAAATCTTTGCCACTTGACTTAAAGAATGCTTGAGTCTGTGAATTCATTCCAGACGACCCCATCCTTTGAGGGGTCCCAAACTCTCAGACTGCAACACTAGGAACCCCGGAATGTCACCATACAGGGTGGTGTTCACCTGGAATGAATTCACGCACTCAAACCATCTTCCAGTCAGTGGTAAAGTTTATTGTAATGCCAACAGAAGGGAGCAGGATTCCCAGTGAACCTGCAAATTAATGTGGGTGAAACTGATGCTTATGTACAAAAAGGACAGTGAAAGGATCTGGATGGGATTAAGGAGTGGTGAGTAGTCTGGGGTGGGCCAGGTGCAACAGTGAAAGGAATAAAGTAGTTTGGGATGAACCAAGAGCTACAGAGAAAGAACTGTCAAGTAAGCTAATTAAGTGATCTAAGTGGACAGGGATGGGCAAGAAGCCTTGAGCTGAGGCACCAGTGATTTGGGTTACTGAAATGTATGGGAAAATTCAGAGACTGGGTTGCCTTCAAAGATATGGTCTTTTCCTTTTAGGGGTCCAGGTCCCATCACCCCATGAGTAGGGAAAGAGAGAAAAACTGTGAGCCAGACACTGAATTCATTGAGGAAGGAAGGAACCCATCCTGAAGGTCAGTAAACAAAAACCATCAAAATCTTGATTGGGTAGTAAATGTGTATTTAGTAAACCTCAAAGAAAGGGAGGTTAGTGAGTTTTGGTGTTGGGGGAGAGCCTTGAAGTGGGAAACAAATGGGAAATAAGGATTAATTCAACTTCCCACCACAGTCAGTGAGTTGGATGGTTGGGGAGCAGTAAATGTTCAACCAATGCTGGAAAGGGGGACTAGGGAAGCTTTATCATCAGGAGGGAGCCAGGTCTCAGTGAGTGCAAAAAAATGGCTAGACCAAGAAAGGAAAAGGTTTAAGATGAAAGTTTGTTATCTGTAGAACAGGAATTACATATAGGAGTGGAGGATAAATTTAGAGTGAGACTTTGGGGAGATTAAGTTGAGGGGGATGGGAATAAAAGAGCAGTCAGTGGGGGACAAAGAAGAAGGTTTGAACAATGGCAGGGGTTCAGGGTCACCGAGATGAGGAGGGGGTACAAGTATGTTAATCATTGAGGAATGACTTTAGGTAGGTTGTCAGCAGAGGTGTTCTGGTAAATGTTTATCAATCAACTCTTTTAAAAAAAGTACTTCAAGGAACACTTTTAAGTTTAATTTACATTATTAACATTTTCTCTATCACTTTTCATAAGTTTAGACATTCAAAAAAGCAATAAATCAGACCCTGATTTCTGAAGAGTAAATACAGTGAAAATTTAACAATTGGCTCTTGCTAGCCAGTACCAGCAAGCTCCAGCTCACCCCTCTTTCTAATTGTCCACTGGGGTTTGCCTTGGGGTGAATATCACACAGCATCAGGTAAATGTGTAGCTGGAAGTCAGGGAAAGAGAGGGTGCTTGGACTGGGGCAAAGTCAGTGCTGTGGAGGCTGGAGGCTGGAGAGGAGCCTGTATCTCAGTGGGATTGATACTTAGGGAAGTTAGAAAGCTCCTCTTCTTCCCAGACAGATAAAGGCAAGCTAAGAGCTGTGGAAAATGTCTGTGCTAGTCAATGGCAAGTATTGTCTCTTATCAGCATCGTACTCCAGGTTCTTCAGTCAATGGTGAGCTCTAGGTCCTCAGTAACAATTGGAAATAATGTGATCCCAGGTCCTGCAGTTTCCAAATCTAATGTCCACTTATCCAAGGGTGTTGTAGAGGAAATTCAGTCTCGAGTACCAGCTGGAATAGATGGCTTTTCATCTGTTGATGGCAATTCATTTAACCTCTCTGGGCCTTAGTTTGGCAGCTAGGTGGCACCATAGTGCACAGAGTACTGGGCCTGAGTCAGGAATGCCAGAGTTCAAATCCAGCCTCAGATACTTCAAATCCAGCCTCAGATACTTCCTAACTAGGTGACTTCGGGCAAGTCACTTAACCTCTGTCTGCCTTAGTTTCCTCAACTGTAAAAGGAGAATAATAATAGCATTTGCCTTACAGGGTTGTTTGAGAATTACATGAGACAATATTTCTAAGTACTTAGACCTTAACTATATAAGTATTATTATTATTGTTGTTGTTGTTACTACTACTACTTATCTTCCTTATCTGTAAAATAAAAAGATTAGACTCAGTGGCCTCTAGGGTCTCTTCCAGGTCTAAATCTGTGGTCCTATGCCCACTGAATTCCCTTCTAGCCCTGAGACTCTAAAATCCAATGAGGTAAGGACAGGTTCAGATATACAGTGGTGGAATGAAATCATGGCACACTCCTCAAATTCATTGAAGTGGGAATATTAATATTTGTTTATTTGTTTATTATATTACAGTAATATTAGCATTTCTGTTTTGTTCCTCTAGGAATAGGAATTTATATTCTGTGGAAAGTGACAGCAGAAAAACAGGCTGTTTCGGCTCATCCTATGATACTGGCTGGTTGGGAGTGAGAAGGGAAGGGTTTAATTTCATCAGGAGCTACCAATAGTTTATTCAGCTACCATGTAAACCTGCTGATTTTCCCGCCTAAATACAACTTGTACACCCCTTGCTCACATGGTTCTTGCCCGGAGCTCCAAGGAAATAGGTAGCACTTTGGAATTTAAAATAAAACGAAGAGGATTTGGCCATAAAATTTCCCAGGGTTCCCTCTTGTGGTCCATTTGGAGAACTGCATAAGGTAGAGCAGAATTCTGAATGGTTATCGTCTTTTAACAAGGAGAGTATTTCAAAATAAAACAAAACAACTCAGAGGTGTGGAACCTGCTCCGTACAGTGTTGCCTTGGGCTCCTAAGGAGATATTTCTCCTCAGGCTCAAGTTGTGCCTTGAGAGCTTCATTTCCCTTGCATTATTGGAGGCACTGCTGAATACTGAGGTCAAAGCATCACTTTTGTGTTCACCAGGGTCACTAAACACCCATAAGAAACCACACAGAAGTCACTGTAGGGGAAGAAATGGGAGATTGCAAAAGGCATGTTTGTCCTCCACCCCACATGTGGCCTATACTCTCCTGTCTCTGTCCGTGTCTCATCCCTACATGTCTGCCCCCACACATTCTCTCTCCATTTGAGCCAGGCTTTCACCAGGCCTCCACGTGGCTTGTCCCACCCCCCATGTCCTTGAACCATGTGTTGGCCCCATTTCCTATCTTCCTTCCCCACTAGAAGAGGCAAAATTCACATTAAGTAAAAATCTGTGGAATGGTCCATTTACCTAAATCAGGAGTCTGTAGTTGCTTTCTAACTTGACTGAGAGCCTAACATTAAATAGATTAAGGAGGGCAAGGGAAAGATATGGTGTCTGGGGGCCTCAGTAACTGGAATTTTGGGGTCCCTATTCAATTCCATTCAACAAACGTGTAGGAGAGGCTTAGATCTAGAAAAGATTTTTTCTGGCGCTTACAGGTTACGGGAGGGACGTAAGAAGAACAACATTAACACACAACATTACCTGACTCTTTGAAGTCAAGGAACTATCTCACTTTTGCATTTGTGTCTCTAGTTCCCAGAATGATGCCTAATAAATTTTTGTTGACTGCTTGATTTAAAAAAGATAACTAACAATACTCAACAATATTGTGCTTGTGATTCATATTGGCAGTAAATGCTATAAAGGTTCAGAAGAGGGAGAACATAGTACCTTGCTGACTTTCAAGTACACTTTCATTCTCCTCTAGTTCTGGAACCACAATTGAATCAACATTGCCAATGACCATCCCTGTCAATTTCTGACCAAGGTGCCCCTTGCTAGATACCACTCTTCTACGTGTGTCATCTCCCCCATTGGAATGTAAGGTCTTAGAGGAGCTACTCTCTTTTGTATTTGTATTCTCAGAGCTTAGGCTTTGGGCTCCCTCTCAGAACACCAACTCCATTGACAGGGTGGGTTGCCAGTAAGGCTGAGCTTTATCTCTCCAGGGGAATCTAAGGGTAAACCTGAGGGGCTGTGGGGATTTTCTAATGCTATTGCTATAAGCCCCACCCTCAATCTCCCATATCACCTGCCAGTGATCACTGTCACAATATAATTTGCCACTGCCAATTAGTATCCCCCTAGTATCAAACTGGTTAAACAATGAAAATGACAAAAGGAGTATGCTGGTTTACCAGGAAAGCCAATCTGCAATCGAAAGTTTTATTATGGAACAAGCTGTGAAGTACATAATACATGAATCAAATCCACAAGAGCTGACTGTTTTAAGTTGGTTTCAATTATTTTTGCCAGGCTATTTTGCTGTCTCATGCACAGATCTCCCTAAAGTATTTAAAACACGGAATGTAGGGGCTGGAAGGAGCAGCTAGGTGACACAGTGGATAGAGTGCTGAGCCTGGAGTCAGGAATATGAGTTCAAATCTGGTCTCAGATATTTACTATCTGTGTGACCCTTGGCAAGTCACTTACTCCCATTTGCCTGTTTCCTCATCTGTAAAATGATCTGGAGAAGAAAATGGCAACCACTCCAGTATCTCTGCTAAGAAAACCCCAAATAGGGTCAGAGTTGGACACAACTGGACAACAATAAGGAGCTAGAAGGCACCTTGGAGAACATTTAGTCCAACCCTTCTCTTTTTGAAGAGGAGAAAATCTAGGTTCCCAATGGGAAGGGAGGTGTGAGCTGTCTACAATTCCACAAGCAGTATCAAAAGGGGATTGTAACCTAGGTCTCCTGTCTCTAAGTGTAGTAGGCTTTTCCACCGTACCACTTCCTGACACAGCCATTAAATTTCCCCAAACTAGTGTATAGGGAAAATAGGGCTTGTCTGTATCTAGCCAGAATAAATCAAACAACATAGGTTCAGAGGGCTCAAGAGAAATCTGGAAAAATAAGCATTGAATAGGCTATTCCTGACCCTGAAACTTGTCTGCTGTATTAATTGGGTAAAAATTCTCCAATCTTCTGTGTCTCCTTTCACCAGTCATTAAGAATTTCTAAGAGTAGGATCATAGATTGAGTGCTAGAAGGGACCTTAGGAATCAGGTAGTCCAGGGGTTCTTAACCTGAGGTCCATAGGCCCCTAAGAGAATACATACACACACACACACATATACACATATATACACACACACATATATATACATATATATATATACACCTTTATTTTCACTAACTTCTAAGTGAAATTTAGCATTGTCTTCAATTATGAATTGGCAACAAATATTGTTCTGAGAAAGAGTCCATAGGCTTCAACAGAATGTCAGAGGGGTCTGTGACACACACAAAAATTAAGAACCCCTTATCTCATCCAACATTCTCATTTTACAGATGAGGAAATTGGATCTCAGAGATGTTAAAGTGACTTGTCTAAGGTCACTCAGGTAATTGAAGGGCAGAGCCAGGCTACCAACCAAAGCATCCAAAATTCAATTCCTTTTTCACTGTACCAACACTGGCTCTCAGGTCTCTTCTTGGCCTCAAAGGTCCCTTCCAGTTCTAGATTTATGATCCTAATCCTAAATTTGCTCATTAGATTGCTAGGATAATTCACCAAAAGAATAATTTTCAAACATCCTTCTATACTCAAATACTCAAATGAATCCAACATCTTAGTGACTTGGATGTTCTCTCCAACTATACACATTGCAACCTA